TCTGGCCTGGCCAAGGCGCCTGCTGCCTTCACGGGGAGGAACTGCCGAGGCCCAGCACCATGGTGGGGGGCTTTATGGATCCCCTCTGCCACCTACGCAAGTTACCTCCTACCTACAACCTCCCTCCCCAGGATGACAGCAGCTTGAGGGAAGACCAGTTCTAGAGGTGCAGCTCGCTTTGGGTGGGTGAACAGCTGCTCCTGTCACTTAACCTAGGCACTGGGGAGGCGTTGGAGACAGGCCTGTTCCTCCCTGACACGCCCTGAGCAGGGCAAGGGTCTCAGGAGCCTCGGACCTGACCTTAAATGGCCTGTGCTAGTCTCACTCCCAGCTCGAAACTGACACTGACAGCTTCGGGCCTGAGAGCCTGGCACTCGGCTCCCAAGGGCTGGCAGGCCCAACCCCCTCCGCTGTGCCCAACCTGACTCTGCCTTCCACGTGGCTTGGGCCCACCGGTGGGACTAGTGCCTCGCAACCCGGGCTGCCCAAAGCCTGGGAGGGCAGCCCCTCCCAACCGGGCCCCCTTCTGCCTTGGCCTTCTAAAGCTGTGTTGTTGCAGGTAATTAAAGGGTTTTAATTAAATTAGGATCCCATCTGGCTGGGATCAGTGAGGCCCTTAACGAGGATCATGTGTCACCACCATCAGCCTGTGGATGGGGACTCAGATGTGGGGGGCTGAGTTTGGGATAGGAAGCCCCTCAGACTAGGGTAGAAGATCTTTCTGAGCTTCTCTGAGGTCCCCGGAATCAAGCAGCTATTGCACCTCCAAAAGCAGAGGCCACTGAGTAGAGGAGGACCGGTCTTCCCAAATCCATCCTGGCCTCTGAGTTGAAGCCTCTCTGGCGTGCAGCGACTCTGCGGGCATCGTCTCAGTTCTGCAGAGGAGGACAAGTGTCCTCAGGAGCAAGAGCTGTGACACAGCTGAATGGGATGGCACAAACAGTGCGGACCCAGGACACAGCAGCTTAGAGTCATCAAATTTTTTTTTTTTTTTTTTTTTTTTTTTTGGTGGAACCAGGGATTGAACTCAGGCCCTTGCGCTTGTCAGGGAAGTGCTTATTCTACTGAACCATCTCCCTGGCCTTACAGCAGCTTAAATAAGCCCTCTTCAGCTTGCCACTCTGCCACTTCTGGTCTAAGATGGCAGGCGACAGGGCAGAAGATGGAACAAAAGGGCAAAGTTTCTGAGCCAGGCAAAGCGGTGCACCTGTTCATCCCCGCGACTTGGGAGGCTGAGCCAGGAAGGTCTGAAATTCAAGCCCAACCTGGGCCACTTAGCAAGACCCTGTCTCAGAAATAAAAGGGCTGGGGTGGCACTTAGTGGTAGGGCACCTCTGAGTTCATCACTAGTTCTGCAAAAACAAAAAAAAAAATTCTAGACGCTCCATATCATCACTTGGCTTCAATGTCATTGACCAGCTCTTAGGCATGTGACTACTACTATGAGAAGGGAGGCAAAGAATTGTACATTAATTCCAGGCAACCATGTAGCCAGCTAACTGCCGAGGACCCCATTGTGAAGGAGGATGGGGAGGCAGATTCCCTCGGGCGGTGGACGTCTGCCCTGTGCCTCATGAGGCAGAACCAGGACAGGAGCCCAGGACTCCTCCCTCATGGCTGGGCCTTTCACTTTCCCACGGCAGTGCAAGGCTAAAGTTCAGTGACCCTGTCTCCAAGAG